GTCTTATCTAGCCTTTTTTATATAAGGTCAGAATTTATGAAAAGATCAAAATTTCAACAACAAAAAAATACACTTAGGAAAAAGTGCGACAAAAGAGGAACAAACAACCAAAATATATGCTTCAAGATTTCAAAGCTTAATAAACACAAACAGTATATTGAATAAAAATTATAACAAATGATAACAAAACTTCCGTGGACTTATTCAAATCTTCTGAATAAAAAAATAACTGATCTTTTCTTCTTCTTCTTCTTTTAAATATCGCTAAAGTTGCAATATAATAGAAATAAAAAGAATTTGCTTACCAAAAAAAAAAAGAATCGTTCAAACATTGCAAAATAATAGGCACGTCTCACGAAACATACTAAACATAATACCAAGCAACATATGCCAGAGTTGCAAGGGAACAATATCTAATTAAAGTTGGGATTGTGCGTACCTTATTGAGTCATCACAAAGTTAGAGAAGAACGGTTGAAAATAAGGAAACAAAATGCTAGAGTCTTCCTTTCTATCACCTATTCAGAAATTGGCAGCCTTAAACAGATATGAGCATGATGGCTTAGAATTTAACTCCAATATAAATAGGTTAGAGAGGGGACCTAGCCAATAATCCATAGAAGAGTCTGTGTCCACTGGATCCACCTATCATGAAAAACCAGGATCACACTAAAGCCTACATTGTTGCCCAACTAGGCCTAATAACAACAGATGCCAGAAGCCCAGTTCAATGTAATCATAATGGACTAGTTACAATAATAATATTGGAATATCTATTAACCCAATTAATTTTAAAATACAAAACTAATTAATTAATATTGCCCATAAAATAAAATTTCTAACATAATGTTCTAATTAGAGTGTAATGGTGCCAGTAATGCATTCCTTATTTTAATTTTATAATATTCGTTGTTCTATCAAGACTAGTGCAGCACCAGGCAGTATAATAAATGTTGTGGAACAAACATGTTTACAATGGAGTAATCTTACATTTTTAATTAGTAATCTAATAATTACAGCTAACGGTTTTAATTTATTAATTATCTAATTTTTTATATGCAAGTGAAATTAATTATTAAGATTAAATATAAAACTTACGGAGCCAACTAATTTGAAATAAAGATAATGTTACTATTGGTGTTGATTGAATATAAATTTTTTTATTATTATTATACTAATGTAAATATAATAAGTTTTATATCAATTATTAGTGATTTATCCCGCTTGCATCCATAGATTCTTATTTGTCCTAATAACCCACGTTATTAGTAAATTAGGAACAGTGTATAGTATAGGATAAAGCCTGATAGTATAAGATCTGAGGGTATGTTTGGTGCATAGTATAGGATAAGGCCTGATAGTATAAGGCCTGATTGAATTTTAATACTATCCAGCATTTGGCACGGTATTGTATAAAATAATATATTGTATAAAATAATATCATCTAATATTTAGTAATGCACTGTATAATACTATATATGATAAAAATAAATATTTTTAATAAAAATATCTTTTAATAAAGAATTTATATAATTCTTCAAAAAATGTCGTATGATATTTATTTTTATAAAACTTTATTGATCAGTGTGTCCAAAATATAAATTAATTTTTATAAAAAAAATTATTCAATATTTTAAAAATTAATATATTGAAAAATTAATTTTTATTTTAATAGATTAATATTAAAATAATATATTAATTTTTGAGAATTACATTGGTCAACGATGTTAATACATCAATCTCTTATCAGGCCTTATCCCTCACCCTTAGGCCGGATTAAGTTATACGTCATTTTGATGTATTAAGAAATTATGTTGTATAAGCTTATACTATACGATGGTCACACCAAACAACGAAAAATGTCATAATGTATAGTATAAGCTTATGCTATCATGCCTTATACGTCACACCAAACAGGTCCTGATAGTATAAGGTCTGATTGTATAAAACCTGATTGAATTTTAATATTATTCAGCGTTTGACACGGTATTATATGAAATAATATATTGTATAAGACAATATCATCTAGTATTTGGTAATGCATTGTATAATACTATATAGAAAATAAATATTTTTAATAAAAATATCCTTTAATAAAGAATTTATATAATTCTTCAAAAAATATCATATGATATTAATTTTTATAAAAATGTATTGATCAGTGTGTCCAAAACATAAATTAATTTTTATAAAAATAAAATTATCAATATTTTAAAAATTAATATATTGAAATCTTAATTTTAATATATTAATATTAAAATAATATATTAATTTTTAAGAATTAAACTGGTCAACGATGTTAATACATTAATATACGTCGTTTTGATGTATTAAGGGATCCTGTTGTATAAGCTTATATTATACGATGGTCACACCAAACAATTGAAAATGTCATAACGTATAGTATAAGCTTATACTATCAGGCCTTATACGTCACACCAAACAGGCTCTAGAGTTATTAAACACAAGGGAAAATATACTCTTATGTTGTATGAGAGAATTTTTCTCTCCTACACATACATCGATTTCTATGTTACTTTTTTATTCTTTTTTTTTCTATAATGGGTGGATCCCACATATGAATATCTCTATTGCACGAGAGAGTTCTCTTCTATTGCATGAGATAAAAAAAAGCCCTAAAGGGTTTTATTAGTCTCATGTAACATAAGATAGTTATCTTATGTTGTAGAGAGAAAATAGATGGGTTCCACCATTACAAGAAAAAAAAAAAAAAAAAGTGGGGTACGAAAATCGAAGTGAGAGAAAATGAGAGATGATATCTCATGTGAAAGGTGAGTAATATTTCCCTTATGTGAAAGGTATGCAACTTTTTACTAATTAAAAGTAGAAACCGAAGAAATTATCATTATTTAACATATTTGTCAGAGATATTATGATAAATATTAGGATAACTAATTATGAAGTACCGAAATTTCAAAAAAAAATCCTGACATGCTGTGTCTGACACTCCTCGACACTCTGATAATCCCCGATACTCCAACATTTATTGCAGAAACTCAAAAAAGAGTTCAATGGTTGCATTATATTGCGTTTTTAGTTTCAAGTTTCAACTATTAGATTCGTTGGATTACGATTACTATTTTATTTAGTTTAATATAAATATTTGGGATATCTTATGTTTCTTTGCAAAATTGATGAGTATTATAATTTTTGCTTCATTTTTTTGTGAAATTATAGAATATTAAATATAATATACACTACATAAATTAAAAATATTATTTAATATCAAAATATTTTCTGATGTGTCGAAATCTAACATTTTTTAAAATTAACGTGTCAAAGTATCGTATCGTATCGTATTATGTATCCTGTGTCGATGTCTGTGGAATATAGATAACCAATGTGGCCTATAAGACATCCAATCTAGCCTATAGGTTAACTAAGCCAAGTTAAAATATTTTTTTTTTTTTTGATAGGATTGTGTCATAGCCTTTTAACCATAGCAATGCATGGTCAAATTCATTCAAAATTCAAATATTTTACAAAAATAATATTTTTGAGATACGGAAAGGAGGTATACGCATTCAAGTTGCGCATACGGGAGGAACACAACTTGCCCATAAAGCGAAGGTGCTCCTACCATTTGGCGGACGCTGCAAGTCGCGCATGAGATGGTGAGCTACTTATAGCACGAGTCATGTGGCATATACTCATTTGTTTATGCATAAGTCGCACATCTCCACCATGTGAGACTTTAACGCATACACTTCTCGTACTCGTCTCACGACATTATTTAGGTAAAATGTTAGGATTTTAAATCAATTTAGAAAATGTGTCCCTCTTTACATTAAATGGATCAAAACCCATCATATTTTAATTTGGTTTAAATGGAATGGATTACATAATATTTTGTTTTATATTATTTTGGAAATTACATATAAATAATATGATTTTTTTACTTGAATTAATTTTATGGGGTTTGCATTTGTTATTTAACATGACACAACAAACTTTCCTACACACACAATATTTTGTGAAACCCACACTTTTTGAAGAAAAAAAGAAGAAGAAAATTATGGCACGCAAAACGAATCTCTATAACATTACACAATCACTTTTCCTACAATATAACTCTTATAAAACTCTAATTTTATATGCATAGTATAATATTTTTTATTTAATAACATAAAGAAAAGTCATTATTATTAATCCAATGGTAAGTGATTTGACTAGTTTGCACGAGGTTATAGAGATTCCAACTTCAGCACAATTGTTATACCAAAAATAAAATTAAAAATTACAAGGGTGCTCATGGGCCTGTTCTCATAGGTTTAAGCAGAACGAGTCCAATTCCGATGCTTGGTTGGTCTAATTTTTTTACCTGGACCAATCCGGTGATGAACGTCTTCTTTAATGAGCTTAATATTTCGGCCCTTAATGGTTATAATGATTAATAAGTATTATTGTTTAATATTATCATTCACTTACGAGAAACTATAAGAAATAAAATTTCAACGTTACCATTAACCATATCTTCCTCAATGCAATTCTGAAAAAAATTAACTAGCACCTTGAGTCTTGACTATCAATTATAGCTTCTAGTTTAGTAATTATTGCGTGATGAACAAGCAACATGAAACAATTTTGTTGTATCATAGCAATCTACTCTGGAACTTTTGGCTCAATAGTTAGGAGGGAACAAAAAAAATGAAGGACTTTTCGTATGCTTTACAATATGGGTTTGATTTTTCTTAATTTGCATGAGATAATTTGTCTTATACAAGACACACATAAACTGATGAGACTCATTAAGAATGAGAGATAAAAGAAAAAAAAGTAGATTTTATCGACTTTTGTGTGTGTTGTCTCATGCAACATGATAAACACATTTCCCTTAAAATATACTGTTGATATAATATTCTCAATTTATATAAAAAGACATGGATTAACCGCAGAAAGAATGTAGTAGTTGACATCATATAAATGATGGATTATATGCTTTTGGCTTGCAGTATAATTTTGAAGGAAGGGGCGATTTGGTGAAATTTGTGAAGGCAGTAGCAGCAGCAGGTCTATATGTGCATCTCCGGATTGGTCCATACGTATGTGCTGAATGGAACTATGGGTAAAGTTGGATCCTTTCTATGTATCTTTTTACTGGGATGTTCTCATGTTCATATCTAATCATGGTCTTTGACTTCTGAACAGTGGTTTCCCTCTTTGGCTGCATTTTATTCCTGGAATTCAGTTCAGAACTGATAATGAACCATTCAAGGTAATCCTCCCTTGCCTTTCTCTATGCCTCATCATCATGTTCCACATACTTCTTGCTATTTTGTGAAGTTGAATTGTCTTCAGGCAGAAATGAAACGATTCACTGCTAAGATTGTTGAAATGATGAAGCAAGAGAAACTCTATGCTTCACAAGGAGGGCCTATAATTTTATCTCAGGTTTTTTATTAAATTCATGTTCAATTGTTTCTTTTTTGGACTATTTATTATGGGTTTTATGTTTATTATTTTACATAACATAACTTCACTTTCCTACACACACATTAAAGAGGTGGGATCCACATGTTTTTTTTTTTCTTTCATCATTTCACTTTTCTCTCTCCATTATTGTGTGTGTTGGAAAACCCACTTATATCATGTCAGATAACATTAATAAAACCCATTTATTATAGACATGCAGATATGGAAGCATGCTTATTTGTTTTTATAGATAATCTATGGGATTGTATTTTGTCATGTGACATTATACAAGTTACGTCATGTTATAGAGACAAAGTTGGTGGGGTTCATTGTTTAAATAAAAAATGAAAAATAAATTAAACAGTGGATCTCATCAACTTTGTCTCTACGACATGATATAACTTGTGTCATGTAACATGATGATTATATTTCCCATAATCTATATGGGTCTATGCATATTTTTAAGGCAAAAGCATTTGTGCAGTTGTGGCTAAAATAATTTGTCTGTCACATGCGCAAAATTATTAGGACATGAAGTCGGATCTTGATAATTTTAAAAAAATAAAATAATAATTAGTGGGTCCGTTTTTTGTATATGAGGCGGAGACTACTTTTCTGCTGTTGCTAAAAGTAATGCCCTATTTTTAAATATGAAAATATTAGTACTTTCTAATGCCAGATTGAGAATGAGTATGGTAACGTTGATCGGGCCTATGGTCCTGCTGCTGTACCCGACATCAATTGGGCAGCATCAATGGCTACATCTCTTGACACTGGAGTTCCTTGGGTCATGTGCCAGCAGGAAGATGCTCCTAATCCAATTGTGTGTTTTCTCCTTTCACCTGATTACATCAAGTGTTTTGTGGTTTATGTTTAATAGATTGTCTGTGTTCCTGAATGGAGCAATCTTACTGTTGCTGCTGTTTTAATTGTCTTACTTGATTGTTTTATTAACTGCTCAGATTAACACATGCAATGGATTCTACTGCGACCAATTCACACCAAATTCTAATGCAAAACCAAAAATTTGGACTGAGGGTTATACTGGATGGTTAGTGTCCTTTTCTAAATGAATCATTTAGTTGTTTGAATGGCATACTCAAAATATGATCTGATTCAATGTGTATTTCCTTTCTCATTGAACTTTTTGGTTATTTTCCTTACAACATTTTAAATTCTTTGCAATGGTAGGTTTCTTTATTTCGGTGGCGCTGTGCCTCACAGACCTGTGGAAGATCTTGCATTTGCTGTAGCACGCTTTTACCAGTTAGGTGGAACTTTGAATAATTACTATATGGTAATGCAACCTTACATGTTTTAGTTATCAACATATGATTTTTAAAGATGTTACAGATATATAAAACTATTAATGTAATCTCACCTAACAGCTTAAGCTTTTGGGTTGAAATGATTCTTTATATGATATCAGAGCCATAGCTTAAACTTTTAGCTTTTAGGTTTTACAAAAGAAAAATCTCAAATACATAAGAAATGAAATGAGCTGATACCTTAACTTTTTGGGTTGCTTGCCCTGAAATAGTACCATGGAGGGACCAACTTTGGGCGGACTGCTGGTGGACCATTCGTTGCTAGTAGTTATGATTATGATGCACCAATCGATGAGTATGGTATGCAGTCTTTCAACCTTAATATTGCATAGTTATTGGATAGTTATTGTTGACACTGTAGACATTACAACCTTGCTTCCATATGCAGTCAAGAAGATAAGTAAAAAGTATTGCAACTCAGGATTATATGTTTATTTAACATGTAGAAGACAAAAAAATTATACTATAACAATTTTATATGTGTTTTTTGTTTAGATATCTTATCTTAACTACATGATACAGGAATTATTAGACAGCCTAAGTGGGGCCACCTTAAAGATGTGCATAAGGCCATAAAGCTTTGTGAAGAAGCATTGGTAGCTACTGATCCAACAATTACATCTCTTGGTCCAAATCTAGAGGTATAAGGGGCCTTTTTAAAATTCATGTTAGATTTTCTGATTAACTTCTTCAGGGCCTAAACTTCTCATATTTTGTCAAATTTGAAGTTTTTATCCCTAGAAATGCCTGTATAATGAGGAATTTTGGTATAATTACCTATTGGTCCACTGGGTCTGGGTCAGTGCTAATTTGTGATAGGTTTCTCTGGTTCCCTTCTCCTTCCCAATTTTGTGAGTGTTGCTTTTTAGTGATTGTGAAAAAAGGCTATTATTAGTTGGTGCTACCCTAATTAATTTGGGATAAAGGTGTTGCTGATGTTGATATTGTGTTAGTTGGTGCTAGTCTCTTGTACTTAAAATACTCATTTTATGTGCTATATGAAGTGTTACTCTCTATTTACTATATGAAGTGTTACTCTCTATTTACTACATACATAATGTAAGCCTTTTACTATTTAAACCCAGGCTGCAGTTTACAATACAGGAGCTGAATGTGCTGCGTTCCTTGCCAATATTGACAACACATCCGATTCAACCGTGAACTTTAGTGGCAATTCATATTACTTGCCTGCATGGTCTGTGAGCATTTTACCAGACTGCAAGAATGTCGTGCTTAATACGGCAAAGGTTTACCTCATCAACTTATCGATCAAAATGGATAGTTCAATTGATTGGAGTTACTTTAAAGGGTGTAAATTAATGTTCATTGAGTGATTGATATGTCTATGGTCGAGCTCATTTCTGTCACTTTTTTATTCCAAGAAGTAAGTAGCATTTGCTAAGTAAAGATATTTTGTGTATGGCAGATTAATTCTGCATCTATGATTTCAAGCTTCACAACTGAATCTTTAAAAGCGATTGGTTCTTTGGAAGATTCTAGCCCAGGATGGAGTTGGATTAGTGAACCTATTGGTATTTCAAAGAATGATTCATTCTCAAAATTTGGATTACTGGAGCAAATAAATACGACAGCTGATAGAAGTGACTATTTGTGGTACTCATTAAGGTATATTATAGGCCTCCAAGTTTGAGAAAGCTTTCTTCTGACCTGCAACTCTCTGCCCAATGATAACATTTTTCTCCATTTTCTTCGTAAGCATTGATCTTGAAGATGATGCCGGTGCTCAAACTGTCCTTCACATTGAATCCCTTGGACATGTGCTTCATGCTTTCATTAATGGGAAGCTTGCAGGTATATAAAAATTTGAGCAATGACAGCTCTTGATATGTCTGTATAACTCTGTTTCTAACAGTTCTTCATGTACTTCTTAAATATTCATTTAGGTATTTCTAATTCTCTATATATTGGATGGCCCTTGTTAGAGAAGTATATAAAACATTGATGGGTCTTCACTTAACAGCTTAAGCTTTTGAGTTAAATTTGTTCTTTACATAGTATTAGAGTCTCGATGTCATGGGTTCAATCTTCACCGCCGCCCACTTTCTCTTGTGGAATTTTTTAGCACAAGTAGGTGGACCTGTGCATTATCCATCCTTCATGTCTAGTGGGCTCTCGTGTGAGAGGGCGTGTTAGAGAAGTATATAAACCATTGATAGGCCTTCGCTTAACAGCTTAAGCTTTTTGGGTTGAATTAGTTCTTTCCAGCCCCGTGTATTTTTTGTTGGATTTTAAGAGTTTCTTTCTGGTTGCTAGTCATGTAATCCTAGGCATCATTTTTCAAGAAAGGCAATGAGGAAAATTTTATTGTGTCTGGGCTGGTGTTAACGTGGATCTAAATGCCATTTCACATTTGTACCCTGAAGCAAATCTGAGCTCTGGTGGGCAACAAATACTAAGTAATCAGAAATGTAATAAGAAAGGTGTATGGTGTCTCTATCTTTCTGATGTATGTGGCCATAGATGATAGATTAGTAATTTGAAACCATAATATATATTCATGGCTGCAGACCAAAACACAAATTCAATTTTCATGCAGTTATACTGTTTTACAAACTAACTTAAAGGGTTAAAATCTTCTTATGTATACCCTGATCAAATTACGTATAATACTCAGTACTCAACAGTTTTACCTCAAGCAGTTCAAAACATCTGATATCAAATCCTGGGTTCATTACATTTCTAGATGAGGAATTTTGAATTGTTCATTTCTTTGTCATGTAAAATTTGATCTCTTTAAGGATGTAGGGAAAATAAAATCAGAGGTTGATTTGAAATGAAGTATGATCAATTGTTCTTGGCTGTTCCTTCCTAAAATGTTCAGTTCTTTATAATTAAATATTTCATGAATTATCTAATAGTAATTATCTGTGATATTACTCAAAAATCATTTCAGGGAGCGGAGCAGGCAACAGAGACAATTCTGCCATCAATGTGGACATCCCCATCACTGTTATGGCTGGGAAGAACACAATTGATCTCCTGAGTTTAACTGTGGGACTTCAGGTGCATCTTTTCTTGTTATAATGTATTTTAGCATTCAGAACAGAAGAAATTTGGTTGGCATTGTGCATTGGCTTGTTATTTCCTCTCCGCGAGATTTCACTTTATTGTCAAGTCATTTCTCATTACTACATCAGCTAATGTGAACCTTATACAAATCAGAACTATGGAGCTTTTTTTGACACATGGGGTGCGGGGATCACTGGTCCAGTGATATTGAAAGGTTTGAAGAATGGTAGTACTATTGATATCTCCTCCCAGCAGTGGACATATCAGGTTAGTCTCAGCTCAACTTAGAGCCTGCTATTTTCTGTCTCCTTTTGATGACTTCAATAAGTGATAGATATAAAAACCAAAAAAAAAAAAACCCATTAAACCCCGGCGAGGGTGGGGCAAGGAAAATCTTTGTACACAGTCTTACCTTTGCATATATGAGGAGGTTGTTTTCCGAATTCGAACTTGTGACCTTTTAGTCATAAAGAAGTAGCTTTACCACTACTCCAGGCTCGCCCTCTTCATTAAGTGAATAGATATAATTGAAATAAATTGGATTCCATTTTTCCATTTTGATTGAGGTCATAGAATACACAGTCTATATTTTTGTGAATCCAGGTTGGCCTTAAAGGTGAAGACTTAGGTCTGTTTAATGGCAGTTCTGGACAGTGGAATTTACAATCTGCCTTACCCAAGAAGCAACCCTTGACTTGGTACAAGGTAATCTTTATAAGAATATATTGAAAAAAATTTTACAGCAAGCATTTTAATGGCAGCATATATGGCTTGCTTGTAACTCTTAACTCCTGAAAATATCCGGCCTGAAATACTTCTTTCTGTATTGCTTCCTCTTCAAAAAGACCATTCCATTATTAGATGCAACCGATAGCATCTATTAAAATTCTCAACTTTTTCTTAATTATTCTCCCATTATTATGACTGCGTTAGATACAATTCTCCTTGCACCTATTTGCTTCACTTGGATTTAGGTTAGAGTATGGATTTCCAGCATTGTGGTCCATTCTAATTTGAATGTAGTAGTGTATATGTCTTGTACTATTGTACATGTATTTGTTTGGTACAGAAACATTTTGGACCTTTTGGCAGGGAAACAAGCATATAAATGCTTAACCTCCTCCTGGCCCCTTTTTTAATGCCTCTAATTCTTATTAAATATTACTCTTCGTTATAGTTTTCCTCAGCTCTGTTTGGATTTGATATCTTCATCTCTCAATAGCATGCTACAATGAAAATTAAGGAAATGCTACTATAGGACAGAAAGACAAATGTTTTTGCTACTAATAGTACTACATGTTGGATTAGACAAACTTTGTTGCTCCCTCTGGCAATAATCCAGTGGCAATTGACTTCACTGGGATGGGAAAAGGAGAGGCTTGGGTGAGTGGACAGAGCATTGGGCGATACTGGCCTACATATATCTCTTCAAATGATGGTTGTAACAACTCATGCAATTATAGAGGGTCTTATGATTCATCCAAATGTCTCACAAATTGTGGAAAACCATCACAGATACTGTAAGTGTTAGATATTCTAGATGAGAGAAGTTGAAAGTAAACTTGAATGGTTTGAGGAAAGCAGAAGCAATACTGTTAGATACTCATTGAGCCTCTGATTCTGCAGATATCATGTACCACGATCGTGGTTGCAACCAGATAGCAACACTCTTGTATTGTTTGAGGAAAGTGGAGGCGACCCTACACAAATCTCTTTTGCTATAAAACTGATAGGAAGCTTGTGTTCACATGTATCTGAATCTCACCCTCCGCCTGTAGACTTGTGGAATTCAGATACAGAATCAGGAAGAAAAATGGGGCCTGTACTGTCACTTAAGTGCCCTTATCCTAATCAAGTCATCTCTTCCATCAAATTTGCAAGTTTTGGAACACCTCATGGGACATGTGGGAACTTCAGCCATGGAAACTGCAGCAGCAATAGGGTTCTATCCATTGTGCAGAAGGTGTTATCCAGCTTTCTTTTTAAATGAGAAGTTCATATGCATTTTGCCTAATTTACTTAGATATTTTTCATTTCGGTTTGGACTGACTTTAATGAGTTTTAACAGGCCTGCATTGGATCAAGAAGTTGTAGTATTGGAGTATCAATTAATACATTCGGAGATCCATGTAAAGGAGTGACAAAGAGTTTAGCTGTTGAAGCTGCTTGTACCTAGCTTGGATTCGGCTGGAAAGTACTTTCCAATTGTCTTAGACTCTTAATAAGAATAAAATGGTATGGAGAATTTGGTACGGAGAATTTGGTACGGAGAATTTAATAAGAATGTTGGGAAAGTAGGATAGGCAAAAATATATTATCCATGTTTGGTATGTCTTAAAGTTACAAAAAACCAGTATTTTATTTTTCCCGTACTTTTGTTTTGAACTAGGCAATGAAAATAAAATGGTAGTTTGAAGTGTGGTATTTTTTAAATTCAAGAATGGAGAAACACCTTTTATTATTTGTAGACAAAAATGCCCTCAAAAAGTCTATATCAAGTACAACTTGTTTGAAAAAGTCTATAATGGGTAATTTCGTAATTTCAATACACATTTCCATCAATATTTCACCATCAACCAAATAAAGCATTAGTAAAAATAACCCAACTTTTCTGATAAATTTTTTGCTTACCAAACACTTTTTTATAACTTATCCGGGCACAAAAAAGTTTCATCATATTTCGAGAATTTTTTCTCCAGTAATAAAAAATTTCTCCCATACCAAACACTTCCTTAAAGATACTTCCTCATTATCCAAAGTAAAATGATAAACCAGGAAAAAATTGTCAAATGAAACAGTTTGTGTTATAGTTTGAGATATTCATTCAGTTGATTAAAAAAGACATTACCCAACACTTTTTTTTTGTTGGAAAGATTCCCCCGGTAATCCCATGGGCTCAAATTCTTTGAGCCGCCTATGGATTAATCTAGAGTTCGGAGCGGGTCAAAAATTAAAGTTTTAAACCTCTCCCCAAGATGATATTGATAAGGATCGAACCGAGGTCCTTTCCATCCGCTCAACTCCATTAATCGTGGTCCTTTAACCCAACACTTTTTAACTTCGCAAAGAAACCACGCGTCAGTCTATAATATGTCAAGAAAGTTAGAGCCTATTTGAACAAATTGAACTTTCATTATTGTGGGATAAACAAAGTGTAGGTCATGGATTGGAACATTAAAAAAATGATTCTTCATATCTTTAGCACACATTAATCACTATAACTTAAACGAAAATGGTGATCATGGGCAACATTTTTAGGCCCTTATTTGTCTGGATACAGTACAAAGAAACCAAAATGCAGGAGGTAAACAATTTGATCACGAAACATGTCTTATTTTTCATGATTCATGATCTTAGTACTGAGCAATTAGTTCTTCACTGGTGGCAAGCCCGGATGGCCTCTGGAACCTGCAGAGGTTGCAAGATGTTGAAAAGAGAGACAGAGTCTGGTACTTGTTCTCCCCTCCCATCATTGGCATAGGAACCCCTCTCTTCACAGGACTAACATAGCCTGGCCTATAAGTCTGACCCAAAACTCCTTCAACATGATCTGTATGTTTCTTAAACCTGAACTGTGTCTCAAGATGAGCAAAAGCATCATCTGATGGCAATTGGTAGTTGTGAACCTTGTTTTCTTTTTCTCCAATGGGCCTTACCCTAATGTCCAATTCAAGCAAACCTGAAACTGTAACTCTCACACTGTTTGCATCATCTGTTCTCTCCACAATCACTTCTCTTTCATCACCATTAGCCCTCCATTCAGCTTCACCATCAGTAGGAATGATAACTACTTCACCATCCCACTTTACTGTAAGAGAGTCAACATTGTCATCCCAGTGAGATACTCTATTGGCTGCAACAACAAGAGTGTGTGTGTCAAACATTATAGCAAGTGCTTGCACCCATGTATAGTCACGAGTCCTTCCTTGTGGTCGAGTACCAATGAAGTGAGCATTGATTTGGAATTCATCATCAGAAACGATGGCAAAGTTTCCTCCTTTAGCGCCATGGAAGTAGAACATCACACCATCACCACCAACAAAGCGAGGATCATAACACAGGGAACCATAACCATCACAGTTTGCTTTTCTGACTGCCAAATGAACAAAACAAACTCGACATAAGTTTCATACTCACTCACTCAACAAAGGTAAATTTTCTTTTTTCTTTTGGAAAGGATCAACTTACACCTATACAAGGATAGCAAGTTTTACACACGACTCATAAATTAAAGCCATTAAATACATGTGGAATCAACTACTAATAATGAGTATAAGACTTACTTGTTATGCATAATATATAAAGGGGTTTACATTTCTGCAGCTGTTGTATGTGCAGCAATCAAATACTTGTCATATATATAATTGAAAGCATTAAATGCGAGGAATCATAACCATACAAAGGATGAAAGCATTAAATGTGGGGAATCATAACCATACACCTGTCGTTGTTGTACGTAAAGCGACTGCCGAAATGATTTTACCATATATAAATTATGTATATGTGAGAACTTACATTTGCAAGTGGCTTCACATTTGCTGCTACAATCAAGGAAACATGCCTTCTGCTTCTTGTTCTTCTTTGGCTTCCTCTGTGCGCACTCCTTTGGACACACGACGGTCTTGAACTGACAGGAATTCTTTGCTTTGCAGAAACCTCGTTCTTGTCCTGTCTTTAGAGGTGTCAACTTCTCATAATCTGATGCTTCATCTTTTGGAGGCTTTGTTGGCTTTTTAGCTTTTCCATTTCCATTGTCTTTGCCTCCTTGGTCCTTTCCATTTCCATTGTCTTTGCCTCCTTGCTCATTCTGTCCCTGACCATTGTCTTTGCCATTTCCTTGACCATAAACAATGGCAGCTTCCATAGCAATAAGTAAGATGAAGAAGGCCACCAAGATGCTCCACTTTCTTGCAGCCATCTTGGTGTGATCTGTAAGCTATTAATTTGAACCTTTGTTTCTTTCCTCTTCTTTGATGATTTTCAACTTTTTCAATGACACAAGAGGATAGATGGAGAGGACAGATACTAAACAGAATATTTATAGAGGATTTGGCATGCAAATTGTCCCATAAGTAAGGCTTAAGCTTTGCTGATATCCTTTTTCTTAAAACTCTTGAAAAGTTTGTGGTTGCTTGGTAGTAATACGCGGGCTTATTCAATGCTGAATTTTGAAAGTGCTAACAAGATTTATTGACCAAGTTAACACAAACACTAACTTGCTGCTTAAACATGTTCCTCCTATGATACTATTATTCTAAATACAACTAGCACGTTCTTTTTTGGCTAACAATAAAAAGAGAGCTCTAGTCTCTAGAGAAGACTAAGTTTATTGACATATATAGAAGACTTGTTATTGAAGATTACAGCCATATTATGGACCCATGAATTTAGCTCCTTAGCTGTATGCATATAGCCACCACTAGTGTAACCATTTTTTATTTTTTTTATTTTCTGAGCTTCAATTATAAGCTACACGTTAACGTTACGATAATGTCACGTAATAATTAAAGTTGGTCTGTGACTTATATTCAGATTCGATGTTGAGAGCGTTTAGCAATGAATTTAGGTCTAGTAACGTGGTTTTATGTGTTGTGTTGATAACAAGAAGCTTTCATGCGGCCACCCTCGCGTCCTTTGCTAAATACTAGCTACATGTTGGTTGAGTCGGCAAGATCATAAAACATAAGGTTCGCTTTTTCTCATGTAACGTGATAAGACTATTTTTCTGCATACATAAATTAAGTGTGGGTCTCACGCTTAAAAAAAAAAGTCAAACCAAAATCAAGGTACGGCGCCGTATCCTCAAGATACGTTGCCGGATCCTTGTCATGATTCTTATATTTCCCTAAAATATATATATATAGTTCATTATAATTATAAATTTTTTATTAAAAAGATATAATTGCAGTGCAAGTATATTTATAAAGATGTATTTATAGTTTTTTTTTTATATTAAACAATGATAGTATTTAAAAAAATTATGACCAGATTAGTAAGTTTCCTTTATAATAATATAGAATAGATATTATATATTGTAGTTACAGAAAACAAATTAATTACATATTATGATGATGATACATACTAATTAAAATACAGTAGTTCAATATATAGAGTTTCATATAATTTTTTAATTCCCTAAATTGTTGAAAATGATTCTCATTACCACTTTCAACTCAACATGAGTTGAATTGGCACAATTCGAAAATTATTAAAAAAAAATTATTTAATGAAATAAACTTGTTGTCTTAAATATAAAACTTAGTTAACTTATTAATATTACTTGTATTGTATTCAAATTCATAATTCTTTCGTTAGTAGATAATAATCTTACCACAAATTATTGTTGAAGTTCCTAATTTCTTCCGATAATTTCTTTAAAAAAAACATATTTCTTTTCTATGTACCCATAATTCGTATTTATCGTACATGGTAAACTTAATTTGGTGTATAATATTTGTTTAAGGGTTTATCATCTATCATTTAACATGATCATAAAAATTTTTCTACACACACAACATTTTGTGGGACCCGCAGCAAAAAAAAAAAAAAACTTCGGCACGCAAAACGAATCTCTATAACATAACACAATCACTTTTCCTACAACATAACTCTTATAAAACCCTTTGTTTAATAATGTACCCATATTTTATGACTTGACATATTGTCAATTTAAGTGCATTAAATTTATACAAAGGAGTACTGGCTGTTGTACCCCAAAAAAAAAAGTATGTACTTGATGTTGAATGTAGGAGAAGCGTTTACTTACATTGAGTGGAAGAACATAATAAATCGTTGGATCTTGTTGCCTTCACTCTTTTTTATGGGCCTCGGGACTCATCAAATTATTTAGTATAATTATTAGAGATGGAAATTCGGATTCACACGGTATGATAAGAATTTAATATGAATATATTTAAAAATAGGTCTAAATTTTGGAATAAATTATTTTACTTATTTTTTTTATTATTGTGTATCAATCTTCAATATTATTGATCAAAATTTCACTACTTTTATCATTTATCTCTCTTATTGAGATCCTGATATGATAATATTGAAAAATGATAAATAAAAAAAGAAAAAAAATGATAAGTAAAATAATATATTCATAAAACTTTTGACATGAATACAATACATTTATTTTTATTTTACGAGTTGATATGATGTAATATGATTAATTTGTGAAACTCAAAATGTATTATTTATTATTTGTTTTCGTCAATTTTATTTTATTTTATTTTTGGTATAAAGTTTTCATCAATTTTATGTTAACGTGATAAGACATCATACAAATACGAATTTCTTTGTCATTTCGTGTCAATGGATTATGTGAAAATTATCACCCGAAATATTTATTGTCAACGTATAAGAAAAATAGAAAAGACCAATTAATGTTCTGCCGCCTTGAAGTTGCATCACATCATGTTTATGGGGACCAAGGAGAGTTCACTAGTTCAGGCTCGGCCCTTGACGTTTCGCACTTAAGCCGTTGAGTTGTGACCCTTTTTTTTTTTTTTTCCTTTTTCAGAAATTTTACGATAATATTAAAATAATCAAATCGAATCAGCCGGGTCGACAAAAAATTTAATAAACAAACTAGGCGATTGATATGGATAACTTATAAAAGTGAACGATCAAAAAATCGGTGAAGGAAAAAATAAATTTGAGCAAGTTTCTTTTTTATTTAATTTAAAATATTTCCTAAACTAATCGATAAATATGCACAAATTTATATGACTTTAGAAAATAAAGGAAATTATGTTTGGCATAGTTTTTTAACTTAAAAACTACTTAAAGTTTAATGTTAACAAATTTTAAAAATAAAATTAAAACTTTTTGGCGAATAGAAGATTTTGAGCATTTTTCGTCCCTGGCAATTTTCACGAGGCACATTTTAGTCCCGAACAATAAAAAAGGCTCATTTTAGTCCCTAATATTTGAAAAAAAAGGGACACGTTTGTCCTTCTGTTAGTTGGCATCTGACGGCCCAACTAACGGAACACACATGGACCGTTACTTTGCTGAATCACCGTTAAGTATGCCAGCGTGGAAGTAATACGAAGCCCTTTCAAACCACCATTGCAGCAATCCAATGTAAAATTTAGACAGTAAAGCTTGATAATAATAGCTAATGGCAATACGATATGAAATATATGGAGCACAACATCTTCTATTTCTATTAGGATTTCCAGTGCTCTTACAGGCAATTATATTCATCTTATAGTTATCACATGAAAAAAATGCTGAGGAGCACTTCTTGGAAAAGCTATTTGCTAACATACGATTTGAGACGAGTCAATTTCTATATTGAGGTGCAATTTGTTCACTCTTAATCTATATTTGTACTAATGTCAGTGCAAATGAGAGAATGAAGGCAATAGAATGTTGTTATATCTATCTTCATGTTTTCCTGTTATGTTATGATTCCCAAGTTTGTACTTCGCTTAAGTTTCTGTTGCTACTGCATATATATATATATATATATATATATATATATATATATATATATAATGAGTAGCTCAATTTCTATACTGAGGTGCAATTTGTTCACTCTTAATCTATATCTGTACTAATGTCAGCGCAAATGAGAGAATGAAGGCAATGGAGCAAACATGGATGAAAGGAAAACAGATTCAAGATGACTGTGCTGCTGTTGTGAAGAAGCTTCGGGCTATGCTCCACTCAACGGAGGACCAACTTCGTGCGCACAAGAAGCAGACTTTGTTCTTAACTTAATTGACAGCAAAAACGCTGCCCAAAGGTCTTCATTGTCTTCCATTGCGCCTTACAACCGAGTATTATAAATTGAATTCTTCTCAGCAAGAGTTCCCCAATCAAGAGAAGTTAGAAGACCCTGAACTATATCATTATGCAATATTCTCAGACAACATATTGGCAACAGTTGTGGTTGTGAATTCTACTGCTTTCAATGCCAAGGTAAATTATTTTCACGTTGAGAATTCTGTTGACATTTGTTTCGCTGCCATGATAATTGAGAAACATCAAAGAGAACTTGGTATGGCTGTGTTGGGATGTAACTACCCGTTATCTACTTTGACTAATAAAAAAACTTGTTTCTGTTTCATTTTGGCCTGAGTTAGTGAAGAATTAAAACTAAAAAAAAGAGGCAACTATAAGTTTCAATATCATTGACACCAATGCTACTTTTATTTCCTATTAGCATTTACATCACTTTCCCACAAATAATATTAGTTTAATGAAATTGCAGGATGCCTCAAAACATGTTTTCCACATTATCGGATAGGCTCAATTATGCTGCAATGAGGATGTGGTTTTTGGTGAATCCACCAGGCAAGGCAACCATTCAAGTTCAGAACATTGAAGATTTTACATGGTTGAATTCAAGTTACAGTCCTGTTCTTAAGCAGTTGGGTTCCCCATCTATGATAGATTATTACCTCAAGGCTCATCGAGCAACTTCTGATTCAAACCTAAAGTTTCAGAATTCAAAGTATCTATCTATCTTGAACCACCTCCGCTTCTGCCTGCCTGAGATCTTTCCAAAGCTCAACAAAGTGTTGTTCCTAGATGATGATATGGTTGGTGGTTTGCTGCAATGGTGGTTTGAAAGGTTTGCTGCAATGGTGGTTTTTTAGTGTTAAGGACCAAATAGGGCCTCGATAAATTTTTCAGGGACCAAATAAGACCTTCAGCAGTCCAAAACTCCAACAAGACATAAGGCATGTGCAAAACGACGTCGTGTTACTTTCACGCTGGCATACTTAACGGTGACTCAGCAAAGTAACAGCCCACGTGCATGTGCTCTGTTAGTTGGGCCGTCAGATGCCAACTAACGGAAGGACAAACATGGCCCTTTTTTTCAAATATTAGGGACTAAAATGAGCCTTTTTTATTGTTCGGGACTAAAATGTGCCTCGTGAAAATTGCCAGAGACGAAAA